TCACTGTATGGGTCACTGGATTTCACTCGTGTCATGCCTACATAGAGCGTCTACCGACGCTCTGATACATTATTCATATTTATGCATGTGTGTTTGTAAGTGAGTCGAATAACATCTGGACTCGGGTCGAGCCTCGTTACACATGGGTCTAAAATGGCAGGTGTTCAGCTTGGTGCACACTCTCTCCTGCCCATATCCCAGAGAGATGTTCCACAGGGCTCTGTGCAGAGGTAGAAATCTCGGCCCATCCTTTTCTGCTGTGTTTCTGGGTGTATCAGCACATGTAGAAAATACCATGTGATACCATGAGAAAAAAGATATGTGTATACTTTCTGGACAGCTGTTTCGGGCTTGTTGGCCCTCATCAGCAGAGCATACTGCAACTTCTCTCTCTGGCATAACAAGTTTAAAGGCTGCCATGAGCGCAGCACTTGTAGTTTTGAATTAATGAGATCATCCCCACAAGGCTTTGCCACTGGTATGTGCTGACTCTGCCTAGACGTAGACATCAGTTGTCCCTGATACTGGGATCAACACCTGTCATGAACGCATGCATGCAGATCTGCATATGCATGCATTCAGGACACGGTATATAGGCGATGATCCCAGTGTCAGGGAGAAAGAGTGCAGGTCAACTGAGGTCTACCGCAGTATTCAGAGATGGTCAGTGGCATCTCACACACTTAGTGTTAGAGTTCAGAGGAAGAACAGAGAACTTGTTATTTTAGACAAAAACATACAATTTTTACAACCAATCAGTGATAATCATAATTAATGCTATACGTAGAATAAAATACGGCACCTTTCTACGTATAATGTATGGTAAAATATAATTGTAAAAACACAGAAAGTATCCATAATATAACATTAAAGTCCCGAAACATAGTAACACAAAGTGAAATACAACAAGTATCCACTGCACAATTATCATATTATTATAACTGTAAATTTCATCAAATTGAGACCAAATGAAGGAATATTTATGTTCTGCCAGACCATTTTCTGCGCTTAGAAAACTTTCCTCTCGCTGAAAAAAGGTTTCCCAGAATGAAAATGGCACTTTTGCACAAGCGATTGGCAATAAAATTACAATTTCAAGTGTAATGTCGTTAATAAGATGAATGTAGAATAGTGGATTACATGCCCAATTCATTCGTATGATATAACTGCATAACTCTGTCCTTGTTTCTCTCAACTTCAAAGAGAAGTAGTTTAATCTGATGGCATCATTGATATGCTTTACAGCCTGCTTAAGTGAGATCTGTGTTGCAGAATAATTGCTTCCAATCTCATAGTAACTTGCAGCGATAATATATTCTGGTTCAAATTTAAGCACTGTGTAGGGCTTTCCCAGTTTATCAATGTATCCACAGCTCTGCTCCCCGGCCCATATTGCCAGATGGTAGCATTCTCTGTTGTAGGCCTCCTGTGCCTGTTCTGCATAGTGAGCAGCACACATGAAATCACATGTAGCTGTTAGAGCCTCAGGTAATATTCCCATCAATGACTTTAGACGTTCAAATAATTTTCCATTTCTCGGAGATGTATCGCAGTTTATTTCACTACATGGAACTGAATTACTGATCATTCTTTTTTGCAGTTCAACTACTTGGTTATCTGAATTTTGTGCTCTGAAAAAGCGAACGGCAATAAAATATAACTCTTTTTGATATTCAGATTTATCAGCAGTCATGAGATAATTGTACATATTATTATCTTCGGTTATTTTGCCCGTCAAATTATTTGCCTTAAGGCTCTCATTTTCGCGTAAATAATCATTGTACAAGTCTAGAAGGAGCCATATTTGGTTAACGCAGTTTAAAGAACATGCCTGACGTTTGTATGCAAGCTCTCTGAAATGAAATCCATTTTTTCTGTCACCAATAACCTTATATGCTACAGAAATATCGTAATGGTTACATGGGTCACAGTGTGTTAGTTTCCCGTAGATGGTTTTAAGAATGTGTGTGTGGCACCTTGCTGAATTAACAGTGTCTCCATTCTCTTCATAGTACTGTATCAACAAACGGTAAAACCTTGTGAAGGTGCTAGTGAAAATCTTGCGTGATTTATGACCTTCATTAACTCTTTCTTCTCTTAGGGTCAATGTTTCAATTGCATTTGTTTTACATATAGTCCACTGCTGCTTAGCAACCAATTCAACTAACCTAATGTATGTATCAAGAAATGGGTTTACCATCGCTTTGCTCAGCAAGTGTGTAGAGGTCCAAAACAGCTAGCAGGTCTTGAGAGATATTATTAATTTCAGCTGGGGAAAATCTTAATTGCAACACATTTAATTCAATGGCTCGCAATGTTGTTCTAATTCCATTGAAATTAACAGTCTTGTTTTTGGCTCTTTTGAACAAACTAAACATGTGCCAAATGTTCTGTTTTTCCTCATCAAACCTAGTTAGCTTTAAGCCATCAATGTAGTCAGTAATAATGCTCTGAAGAACGGCAGTAAAGTAAGACTGAAACTGAGTATCAAAAATGTTGTCGAAATGAAGTCCGATTTTCTTGACTAAGAAAGAATGTTTTAATTAGTTGGTGAAAGTGGTATCTCTGTCTACCATGACTAGATTGCAGAAGAGATCTCTGCACCAGGTTAGCAAGGCCGGGTCTGATGTCTGTATCAATGTCAAACAAGAAGTAAATACTGGCTTCATCAAAACTCCTTGGAATATGGGACAAGTTTACACATAACTGCTTCAGTTCAGGAGAAAGGTAGCTATAAGCTATACGAATGGACACATCAACCGTGGAATGTAGCTCAGTAGGACTTAGTGTACGAAGTAGATGTTCTTTCAGGCCATTTATCACTATTTCTGGTGTGGGAGCATCTGGAAATCTGAAGATGGCTGCAATAACCTCCAGTGCTAGCGGAACATTTCCTGTCAGATCGGCTATTTGCTTTTTCTGATCATCTGTTAAACTAGGAGCTACTGCACCCAATAGTTCTATAGCTGCATCACATGAGAGGTTGTAAATGGCATGGAGTCGAAAGTTGCCAATGTCAGCTACCCACTTTTGGCTAGTAATAAGATACCTCACACGTTTTTGGGACAGAGCAGTTAATGACTTTAATGCACCCAGAAATTCTTCCTTTGAATGCTCCAAAATCTCATCACAGTTGTCTAGTATTATTAATGCCTTAGAATATTGCTTGCGTATCCTTTCCTCCAAATCACTGAATGTTACCTTAGTCTTACGGGACTCAACCATACTGAGTACAATCTTCTCAGCAAGAGTATCAATATCTTTAACCATTTTTTGCCCAACGTCTACATAATGTACACTGACCCATTTCCGTAAGAATATCTCCCCAATTTTCATGGCCAGAGTAGATTTACCGAACCCAGGAGGTCCAACAATGTGAACTACCTGAACATCTGAGGTTGCGAAGTCAAGGTAGCCAGTGATGTTGCGAATGTCTTCCTCTCGACCGACAAAATGACTCACAGATGGCAGACTCTTTGAGTGGCAGTGGTAGCAGTCTGGGTTACACAACACCCCAGCTAGTACCACGATCAAAATAGGGACTCCAATGAGTATTGTTTTCCAAGAAATCAGCCAATCTGGGTATTATAGAGTGTATCACACATCATTAGTAGTAGTTCAGACTCACTGTTATGGTGTGTTGAAGATGTACGGGAACCATTAGTGATATCCTTGAATTCATCTACAGGGAAAAGTCTTGAATGGTATTCATTGCTCAACAAACTACTCATGTGACTGGGCAGTGCTGTGTAATGCCAGCCCACAGAAATGGCCACTAATGTTACTCGAGTTTTTAATAGTGTAGTGTGAAGCTTAAGACTGGCAAAGGAATTTTGTAGAGAAAGCAGCATTGTAAAACTGGTTAGTTGAGCAAACATTGAAGTCATAGACTATAAAATTTGTGACCGAAAGGGATAAGTAACTGTTCATTGTCTGTGTGTGAGTAGCACATCCAAAAGCAGTTAAAAAGAGACTTAAAATTTTTGTGAAGAGCTTTGTAAGGTAGTTTTCTATTTACCATACCCAGACAAATGTCTATTTAGACCAGGGTTGGATGGTGCATTTGCTTATGTGCTTGGCAAACCACCAATAGTAAATTACCTCTGGTAGCTCTCAACTTTGTGCATATGTCTTCAAAAGTCGGATCTCGAACCAGTATGGAGAGAAATTTCTCAAACACTGCCTCCTGTGACTCGATTCTATCCTCCAACTTCTGTAGCAGTTCTCGACTACGCTCAACGGGCGCCAAAGAGATTAGGGAAGCTCTTTCCTTCGCCACTTTGTCTATCAGGCCATTGCTGTACAGTTCCACTGCCAGACCTCCTGGATCTGTTACTGCTGACTCCAACTCCTTCAAGTGTTTCAGAAAAGAGAGATAGCCAGGGCGAGAACACGTCGAAGTACCAGCCATGATCCAGGCCAAACGAAATGAGTGGGACTAACCAGATACGCCCACAAGGAGGCGTGGTGTACCAGCTCAACGGGAACACCACGCAGCTTATAATACTGTTTTGAGCCCAGCAACAGGAGTGATGGGGGTAGATCTAGATGCACCCAACCCCTGTCGTTTGGACTTCTCCCAGAAGAGTATGGGTGTTGATGCACAGAGGAGAATCCTGAATCGCAACCACCGAAGATTACGCCATTTACCCGCACCTCAACGAGCACAGTCTACTGTCAGACCACGAGAGAGAAATTCTACTCAACGTTTACCACACACGACAGTTCAAGATAGACAAACTGTTACAGTGGATACCCACGAAAGGCAGTGGTGCATTGGATAAGTTTATAGATTGTCTGCAGAGGTATAGTCGCGACGCTAGTGGCCACGAAGAGCTCGCAAAACTGTTGCAGCGAGATGTTGATCGTGACAGAGACAATCCTGATCTCGACAAGTGGCTGCGGATACCCGCCCCTTGTTTATCAACAATTAAAAGTGAGTCGTTTGTGTATGCTAGAACCGACGTCTTTTCTGTTGATGTTCACTGTAGGCAGTACAGCACACTTTTCTAGGCGTTGTTTACTCCAAGGGAAGAGATTCTCAATGCACGTATTGTGGTCACGAGGCATGGCTTTATTTGCCTTGGAATGGTATCACTGCCATGTGGGGTACTAACCTGTGTGTTTTCAGTATGTTGTATCAAATGACATATCAATTTCCCAGCAGAGGCATCTGTATTGGCATTGTTTGGTCTACTGCTCCGGCTATCGTGTCCCCTTCTCTTCCACAAATCCCAGCTAAAACAACTTCTGGAATGGTCCACACACTCTCTCCTCCTCCCACAGCCTTGTGCGCCATTCCTCGGTAGAGACAGAGACACTAGTGACCTAATGAGAGTACTGGACATGCAGAGTGATGAAGTGAGAATAGTCAATTTGGTCGGTCCCACTGGTATAGGGAAGAGTTGTCTCGCAGTTCAAGTGGGGCACCAGCTTATATTCCAGTGGAGCTACAGTTAGCTACCTTGATGCTAGTCTTCTCTCTCTGGACAGCCTGCCAGATGTGATCCTTCAGACTGCAGGTTCTGGTGGCAGTGGGAATTTTACTGAGAGATTGCTTCACTGGCTGCGTAGGGAGATGAAATACCCTATAGTTGTGATACTGGACAACTTTGATAGAATGCTTGCTACTGATCGAGAAAGGGTGTTAAAATATATCGACATGCTGTTTGAAAATGCTGCAACAACAGTCAAAGTTCTCATCACTAGTAGAAAGAAGATTCCCTTGTCTGATCACAGCTCTGAGTCCGAAATCGAGTCAATCACTTTTAACAGCTCATGCCAACTCTTGCGTAGTGTCAGTGAGAGAGATTTAAGTGCAAGAGATTGTGAATCTATCACAAAACTAATAGCTGGAAAAT